TGCAGATGTTCAACTCAATTACGAATGTTTAGAACGACGTTATGGTAATATTAATCCTAATCTAGATGAAATTTTAGGTGAAGAAGTAGAAAATGATTCGGGAGAAGATGAATTAGAAGATACACCTACTAGTCCAATAACACAAGTTCCAAATGAAACTACAAATTTAACGGAACAAAATTGTGGACGTCCACCCCTTTTACCTCCCACAAGGGAGAAGGTGAAGTATCAACGCCCTAAAACTTCTATTGTGTGGCAATTTATGACTTCCATAAGAAAAACGATGTTGCTATTTATAATAAGTGTATGCAACCTTTTAAACATAGACAAGGTGGGGGTCAAGGTGGGACAGAGGACTAAATTGACATTTGTTATCTTGTGCCGATTCAATATATAGAAGCTAAAGCATTAGCCGATAGAAAAAATAAATTCCAGTTAATGAATTTGATATTAGTGGTAATGAATCGGTAGGGGCTTCTAACATGGTTCAAGGAACATTAGATCCTTCTAACCCCGGTGGTCCACTAACACAACGTAAATATAATAAGGAAAGCATTCGCAAAAATTTAGCTAAAATGGGTTATGTTTGTGTTTTGCCTTATAGTTTTCCTTCAAATCCCAGTTTTATTGAATATATTCAACAAACCTATAATCCTGCTTTTAGAGGTTTTGCAAGAAATATTGTTAAATATGATATTTTTGAATATCAAGGTAAACATTGTCAATATCTTCGTTGTTTGTTTAGCATATTAAATAGTAGAGTGTCTATAACTTTGGACATGGGTTGTAGTGTTAATGGACATGATTATTTAACTATTATAGCACATTGGATTGATCATTGTTGGAATTTGCAAAAAAGAATCTTAAGATATAAAGAATGTGTAGAGAAAAAAACTGGTGCATATTTAGCTTCAAATATTTTGATTTTTTTAGATTGTTACATGCTTATAGATAAAGTAATGTCTGTCGCATTAGATAATGCATCAAATAATACAAACGTTGCTAGTATGTTAAAAGTTCGGTTATGTCCAATCGAGTATAAAGTTTTTCATGTTAGATGTGTTGCACATATATTAAATTTAGCTGTACAAGATGAAATTTCATTATTTGATTGTGGTTGCATGAAAATTGAATATGTTGTTGCATGAATTTTTCATGCTAATAAAGCTGCTAGAATTAGGAAATTTAATGAGCGTTGTTTACTATGTGAATTGTCACCTAGAAGAATTTCAAGACATATTAAAATAAGGTGGAATTCATTTTACGAAATATTTTCAGTTGCTTATAATTTAAAAGACCCATACAAATAGTGTTTAATGCTCATAATGTTGACCCACTAGATAGAATTTGTGATGAAGATTGGGAAGAAACTATAGAACTATTAGAATTTTAAAAACTTTTTTATGATGCTACAACCATGTTTTCTGGAATTCAGCATGCTACTATTTCATCAGTATTAATGAATATTTGTGGTCTTTCAATTCAATTTTCTAAATATAAAAAAATAGATAAATTTAGAGTTGCAATTGAAGGTGTGAATGAAATATTTTTAAAATATTTTTTTCCTATTCCTCAGATTTATTTAACTACTACTTTACTTCCTGATTATAAATTACGAGGTGTGCATGCATTTGTTGACATTTTTTATGATACTTGAGAAATTTTACCGGATGAAAATTCAACTTATGAAAAGGGTAAGTCTAGCATAAAAGTAGAAGAAAAAAATTTATATGAAAAATATAGAACAACGGAAAATATTCAAAGAGAAGTTGGTCAAACTTCTAATCGTGAGAGTGAAGTTCGAATTTCAACTTATATGCAAGGTTTTCGTGGTCTTAGTTCTCTGAACATGATGATTTTTAAGAATATCTTAATTAATCTTTAGAAGCATTGGAAATCAAAGATGACAATGAAGATTTATTAGGATGGTGGAGGAGGCGGAGCGTTGCATTTCCAATTTTGAGTGAAATGGTTCGTTATGTTGTCATTCAAGCTTCATCACTTACATCGGAGGTTGCTTTCAATGTGGAAATGTTTCAAATTAGCGATCATAGACATTCATTCGAGGAAGGAAGTTTGGAAACATCAGTTTTATTTAGAGATTGGGCCAATCCCGATAGGAGGAATAATAATTTGCCAAAGTTAAATTCAAACAAGCAGCTTGTGTTAAAACGATAATTGAATGTAGTGATGATGAATTAGAGTCACAAGAATTTCTAGCAAGTTTGCCAACACCGGAGGATGTCAACATAGATATGATGCGACAATTAGAATAATTTACCCTAGTTAGTGTTTACTTCATTACTTTCTTCATTCATTTTACTTTCAGGAATAATTGCCTTAACAGACATAGACCATGTGAGCTAAACATGGAATACTGTGTGATGAACCCTAAACCGAAAGAAGGTTCTTTACTTGCCAAGGTAGAACTAAAACATGAACGTAACTTTCTAGGTGGACCCATTAGCTAGTCTTCCTATGGGGCCAAAATAGTTAATGAACTAGGAGATAATTCTTGAACTCACTAAATGCCCATTAGAATTGGAGTCTCATGAACACATTGGTAAATCTCCCTTCCATTGGGGATTCAACACCCCTTATTTTAAAGTTCACTTGGTGCTAAGCTAAATTTTCTTTTTAAAATGTATTTAAGCCTTTATTAGTCATCACATCTTATTTTAGGTCATAGGAGACTAACCCCTTGTATATTCATAGTCATTACTCGTTAGGTATTGCATGAGAATTTCCTTTCATAACAACCCTTAATTTGTGAGTTCAACATAGCATAATCATATCATAGTAAGGCACACAACTAATTCATATTCAACCTTGTATATTCATACCCTTAACATGATCTCACAATTCACATAGTCAATACATTTCATCACATTAATCAAACCATAACCTTCTTAATATAATAATAAAATACTTCAATTGAACATCATCATCAAGTATACGTCATCATCATTGAAGTAAAGGATTCAAGATCATAAAGTCTTACCACATAACCTTCATAAGCCTCCTTCAAGATATTAGCATCAATCTGACCATATTCATCCATCAATTTACTTAATAACATCTATACAAGAACTAAGTCAATCGTATCATCACTAATTCAATCAACCTCTATTCATAAACTAGGGTTAGGGGAAAGGGTTTATCAATGGATTCTTTCATAGAACTAGGTAAATGACTAAGAACTACAATAATTAACCCATAAATAATCGTAATCTATCAATAATAATCAAAGGAAATCAACATCTAATATAATTGAAAGATCAAATACGTAATTGGAACGAAACCCATGTTTTTGATATCTTTTAGAAATCAACTTTAAAGAGCCTCTTGGAGAAAGAGTTTCCAAGAGTGAATAGCTTTCGTACCTTAGGATTCCTTGAGAATTGATGGTGAAAAAGTCTTTGGAGACGTAGTGAACCTTGAAGCTTGGTCTTCAATGGTATGTTGAAAAGAGAGAAAGTAGAGAGAAGTTGGAGAGAATTGGGTTTGGGAAATATGAGGTGTTAGTTAGTTTAACGAGGTTTAGGTCTTATATAGTCCCTCAACTAACTTAACTAACCCTCCCTTTAAACCTTAATTAACCGAATAACAACCTAGTCACTAACTTAAAAACTTGGCAATGAAACTCGACACTCAAATGATGGTTGCCCGTCGACCAAACGACGGCACCAAACTGGCAAGTCGTCGTTTGATTCAGAGTGTGGTTTTTTGGACATCTTGGGAAAATGGCTAAGTGTCAACCAACGAATCCATCAATGGAACGTTGATCAAACGGTGGCTTGTCGTTTGGCTCGTGGATGCACACTGTCTAACTAGACAATTTTGGCTCAAATAGAAGGGTCCTCTCCAAGGACCCTTAGAGTGGTCTTTGGTTAGTCGTACCCGAACGTTTTGACCCTGAACACACTATTCTATATGTTTAACACCTTTTCACCAATTTTCATTAAATTCTGACTTTAAAAACCTCATGAAACATGCCAAGGCACATTAACCTCAATTTCACTAGTCTCCAGACGTCATGGATCAAATGACGACTCATCGTTTGGCTCGTGGATGCACACTGTCCAACATGACAGTTTTGGGTCAAATAGAAGGGTCCTCTCTAAGCCCTTAGGGTGGTCCTTGGGGAGTCGTACCTGGACGTTTTGACCCTAAACACACTTTTCTATATGTTTAACACCTTTTCACCAATTTTCATTATATTCTGACTCTTAAAACCTCATGAAACATGCCAAAGCACACTAACCTCAATTTCACTAGTCTCCTGACGTCATGGACATTTCTTGACGTTTTGATTATATCACTTCATAACTACAATACATTAAAATAGGCTTAGAAATAGTGTTTCAAGTCTTAGTTCATCATGTGAGGCTCTAGACCAAGTCATGGACTTCTAGAGTGTTACATTATCCCCCCAAGAACATTCGTCCTCAAATGACACAAAAATCTTTTTATAGGGAAAAGATGTACTCAATACTAGCAGCCCAACCAACAACATATAATCAAAAAGAGTTAGAACTCAAAGGAGTAATTCAAAACTCCGTTCAATACATAAACATGACATTACACATACCAACTCAATCACAAGTCACAACAAATAAGAACTCAAATTTTCACAACACACAATGAGGAACTACATTCTCACCATTAACATGAGCTCAAAATGACACCAAAGAGTTACCATGCTATTCTTCTCAAAACAGCACCAAAAGACCAAAGATCTCAAGAAGACAAAAACATATTTTTCACATTAGTGCAAGTTAACACAAAAAAACATTTTTCAAGAGAACTCATTTTGACATAAACCTTTACCAAAATACGCGCATAGTTACAAAATTAGCCAAATTCATATTTATTCATTATTAATAAGAACTACTAACTTTAACTAGGAAAATAGATGAGGATAACGGGACTTCATGTTGGCCTCTGCCTCCCATGTTTCACCCTCAACTAGGTGGTTTCTCCATAGAAATGGAGGCTACCTATTTGTTCCTCAACTTCTTAATTTGACGATCAAGGATTTCCACCACAACCTCTTCATAGGAAATGTTCTCACCCACACCTAACCCTTCAATAGGGAGAATAGACTCGAGGTCACCAATACACTTCTTAAGCATGGAGACATGAAATACCGAATGAACCAAAGCTAGTTCACTAGGTAATTTCAATTCATAAGCAACCTTCCAGACTCGTTGCAACATCTCATAGGGAACCACATACCAGAAACTTAGCTTCCCCTTCTTACCGAATCTCATCACCCCTTTCATAGGTGAAATCTTCAAGTACACCTTATCACACACTTCAAATTCAATGTCTCTTCTCCTATTGTCGGTATAAGATTTTTTCCGACTATAGGTTTTATTCAATCTATTCCTTATTACATGAACTTTCTCCAAAGCTTCATAGACTACTTCGGGACCAAGGAGTGAAGACTCACCAAGCTTAAACCACCCAATCCGAGACCTACGTCTCCTACCATAGAGTGCTTCAAAAGGATCCATGACAATACTGTAGCTATTATTATAGGATAACTCAATCAATGGAAGTGATTGTCCTAACTTCCCTTTAAATAAATTACACAAGCTATTAACATATCTTCTAGGGTTTGAATTGTACGTTCCATTTGACCATCCTGTTTGAGGACGAAAAGAAGTTCTAAGCTTCACTTGAGTACCTAACCCTTTTTGAAAAGACCTCCAAAAACTAGAAGTGAATTGAACACCTCTATACGATATGATGGACAAAGGGATCCCATGAAGGCTCACAATCTTCTCAATGTATATTCTTGCAGAATCCTCTACTGAATAAGTAGACTTGACGGGAATAAAGTGAATGGATTTGGTCAACCTATCCACAACCACCCATATTTAGTTATTTTGCCTATGTGTCCGAGGCAAGCCCACTACGAAGTCTATATTAATGTTTTTCGACTTCCAAGAAAGAACTTGCATTTCTTAAAGTATGCCACCAGGCTTTTGATGCTCGACCTTTACTTGTTGGCAATTTGGACACTTAGCCACAAGAATTGATTTTATACTATTCTTCATTATATATTAGTATTTTAGGTTGGCCTATGGTACCTACTCAGTATGTGTTCCTTGTACTGACCCTACTGGTGTTTGCTTCTTTTTCTATTATGGAGTGCAGAAAGTATACTACTGACTCAAAATCTCCCTCAGCTCTGGCCAATCTCTAGTACTTCAGGTTTCGGGGTGAAATTTTCTTTCTAGCTTTTGCTGGATTCTTTCATTCATGGCATGATGTCCTTGAATTTCGGACATGAACCATCTTATTTACTTATCTAGTTGTCTTTGATACTCTTAGACTTGGTATTTTGAGAACAAATGTCCTTGATGTAATGATTTTTAATTTTTTTGGGGTAATAATTGTTAGCCTTTAGATATCTAAGATTGTTTGCTTTAATAAGTTTGAGCTTACGCATTTTATTGGTATTCGTAGTTGAATTATTAATATATGTTGGGGTTTAGATTCCTTGGTTCGCCACTTAAGTGGTGAAGTGGGGGTGCCACACATGACTCATTTTGGGTCATGAAAAACATGGTATCAGACCCTTAGGTTCAATGATCTCATCACACACGGACATGTCTAGTAGAGTCTTACAATACGGTACGGGGACGCCTTGAATTTTCTTCGAGAGGCTATATGACTTTAGTAAAACTCATATTTTTCTTTATTTCGTTCTATTAATTGAATCTTATTAGTATCTAGGTGATATAAATTGGTATATGACCTTCTTCACTGTATTTTGCAGATGGTCAGAATTAAAGCAACAACTATGCCAACACCAACACCGGCAAGAAAGGATGCTCCTGACCAACCATTGAGGCTCCAGCTTGAGGGGAAGAAGTGGCGAGAGGCCATAGTAGAGGTCACGGGAGAAGGCCCACTACAGGCAGAGGACAAACACCTGCTCTAACTAGGGATAGAGTGGCGACTCCTCCATCGACTGACGAGGTAGTGAGAGTGGGTGATGAAGGGGAAGGTGAGTAAATTAAGGAGAAGGAAATACCACCCCAGCCTACTCCAGAGATGATTAACCAGGTTCTCACTAATCTCAGCGGGTTATCTGATTAGGGCCAGACACCCCAGTGTTTTCTGCACCAGCACCTCAGGTTCAGGGAGTACAACATGCAACTGTTGTAACTCCCCGCATGGATCCATCCATGTTCATTCCATGTTCATGCATATAATATATTTTACTATTTAATAAAGATTGTAAAAATAATTAGAGTATACATTAAACTTACTGTTTCATACTTTACGAATTTACATGCTTTTGTAACATTCCATGTTCATGCATATAATATATTTTATACTAATTCTTAATTATTTGAGACATTAATATATCTTTTATTATAAATAAATCAAAATCATGTTAATAACAGATAGTATTAAATAAATAGTATTAAATAATATTAGTATTTACTGTGTACTAATCCTAGTCCTATTAGGATTAGTACTCCTTAATCCTAGTCCTATTAGGATTAGTACTCCTTCCTAGATCTCCAATATATATCTCCCATGTATTCCCTTATTAGGTAAACACTTCAATACAATCCATATTACTTCATGGTATCAAGAGCCAGAAAACCTAGATGTTCTTTTCTCTAGGTCTTTTTTTTTCTCTCTTTAGAACACCGATCATTCCCTTTCTTCTCTTGGGCGGCAGCAGCCATGACAACCGAGGTGTATCTTCTTGATTCACTTCCTTCTGGCATTAAACTCCTTCTCCGGCATCTTCATGCCCTGATTCCTGAAAAATTATCAGACATAAATTACCCTACATGGAAAATCACCGTTCTTACAGCCCTTGAGGCCAATTACCTTCTCAATACATCGATGGAAGCACAGAACCGCCGACAGTCATCACCGCCATGAACAAATCAGAAAAAACCAATCCGGCCCATGCCGCCTGGAAAGCCGTGGATGGCCAGATCCGATCATGTTTGATTACGGTCATCTCTCCCACGGTTCAGAAACACGTCCGATCCTACACAAATGCTTCGGCCCTGTGGATGGCCCTCGCAACACGCTATGCATCAATTTCCCACTCTCATATTTTTCAATTGCGTGATCTTCTCCACACAATTACCAAAGGCACGAAAACTATGACGGAGTATTTAGACGAGGTATCCACCATCATCACAGCCCTCGACACCGTGAACAAAATCATTCCCAAAAAAGATCTCGTCATGTGCGTCGTTCGGGGGCTCCCATCAGTCCAACGCCCGTTGACCTGGCTACTCTCTCCTCGTGGCTAAAAAGTGAAGAAATCAACGTGGATCTGGAGAGCAAACTTCTCCTCCGAGAAGCCGTTGTTATGGAGCCGGGCACCGCCCTCACCGTAAGCCAGATCTATCGCAGGGGGTGTGGTGGCGGCCGGCAGGGGAGCTGCGGCGGCTATGGAGAAAACAACAGAGGCCGCGGGCGCGGCGGTCGGCAGGGCAGTCGTCCGCCGTACGACGATCAACAGCACGGCAGCAACAACAGCCTGCACTCCTTTGGCAACGGCGGGCAGTCATCCTCCAGCGGCGGGCAGGGCACTTACGAGCAGGATCGTCCAACTTGTCAAATTTGTCAGAAAATAGGACACACCGCTGTTCGTTGCTGGTTTCGGTATGAGAAGAGCCGAAATAGTGATAACCGTGCCAATTATGCATCTCAAGCCGGCCCTTCCTCTGAATGACTGTTGGATACTAGGGCCAACGTGCACGTTACTTCTGATCTATCCAAGCTTAACGCTCCAAATCCATATCATGGCTCCAATGGTATTATTGTTAGCAACGGTGAGTCCCTTAATATTTCTCACACTGGCACGGGTACCATTAAAACCCCCACCGCTATCTTTCACCTAGGTAACCTTACCCACGTCCCTTCTATTAAAACCAATCTCCTTTCAGTTCACCAATTCACAAAAGACAATAATTGCTCACTCTTGTTCACCTCTAATGATTTTCAGATCCTAGACAATACTACCAAGAGGGTGATTTTTCAGAGCCCCTGTGAGCATGGTCTGTACGTTCTTCCTGGCACAAGTTCGTCTGCCTACCTAGTTTCAGAAAGCGTTCCTGTGGCTCCGGTGGCTCTTTCGGCTGATGGTCATAGTCTGTTGTGGCACAGTCGTCTGGGTCACTCGTCTACTCAAATAATAAATTCTTTAATGTCTCAATTAGGTTTTTCTTCCATTCATGTAAACAATTGTGACTCCTGTTCAATTGCTAAATCTCGTAAATTACCTTTTACTTTATCTGAGAAGCGTACAACTGCACCTTTTCAACTTATTCATTCTGACCTATGGTGTCCTGCTGCTGTTCCTTCATTTACTGGTTTTCGCTATTATATTTGTTTTGTGGATGATTTTACAAAATACACTTGGTTGTACCCACTAAAACACAAATCACAGGCATACACCACCTTTGTCACTTTTGAAAAAATGGTCAAAACACAATTCAATTCTCATGTTAAACTTTATCGAAGTGACAATGGAAAGGAATATGTAAATAACATCTTTGGCCAGTTTCTACAATCCCTGGGAATTATACATCAAACCTCCTGTCCATACACTCTCGAACAGAATGGGGTGGCTGAGCATAAGCATCGCCATCTCATTGAAACAGTGGTTACTCATCTACATCAATCTCATCTCCCTGTCTCCTTTTGGGTAGAAGCTCTAGACACCGCAAACTACCTCATTAACAGAATGCCCAGTCACACCCTCTCCAGCAAATCACCCTATCAACTCCTTTACCAAGAACTTCCCAATTATACCAACCTCCATGTCTTTGGGTGTCTTGGCTACGCCCTCATATTACTCACAAATTACAACCCCGATCCCGTCCATGTATTTTTTTGGGCTATCATCCTACCTCCAAGGGTTATCGCTGTCTTGACCCACAAACTCATAAAGTCTACATATCTCGTCATGTCAAATTTGTCGAAAATGAGTTTCCCTATGAGTCTATTTCCTCCTCCACAAATACATCATTCATTGGCGTCCTTTCCCTTTTTCCAACATACTCACAGGGTCCCTCACCACCTTCCCCCACACCTCCACCCACTACCCAACCACCCCTCATCACCCCTTCGACCGTCACCCACAATACACCCGCAACCACCACCCACACTCACAACCAACCCGAACCACCCCATACCCACAACATCTCCAGCCCGATTCATTTTGGGTCCTTCCCGGCCACCCCCGAATCACCACCGCCCGTGCCACCCTCCAATACTCATCCCATGTTAACCCGTGGCAAAGCCGGTATCTTTAAACCCAAAACCTTTCAGGCTATCATACTACCAAATACACCCCTTCCCGATAGTGAACCAACAACCTACTCTGTTGCCTCAAAAAATGCTTATTGGCCTCATGCTATGGATGACGAGTTTAAGGCTTTGACTGATCAGAAAACTTGGGTTCTTGTACCTAAGCCCCATGGGCGGCACCCAGTGGGCTGTAAATGGGTGAACAAAATTAAAC